CAGAAAGTTAATGCATCATTTATTATATGATATGAATGGTTGTGGGAGACATCCATCAGTGAGTATTTTTTGGTCAAGGCTGTTGCAAATTTATATTTCAGTTAAGATACGTTAAAACAACCACAGGATTACTGCCCAGTATTTCATGCATTGTGATGCAATTATCCAGCTTGGGTCAAAGTTCATCTCCTGTCAACCACAGATGTTACAGCCATTAACAGGAATCTAACTTGAATACAATTATATTGTTAATGTTTATAACAGTGAAACAGTCTACATCTTAATTTTTAAGGGTTATTTGAAGTCATAATATGCATTGTCATGCTGGGCAGATCCCCATGAGGTAATCACGTCTAGACAGGTTGACAAATGATGATGTCAACTTGTATGAGCTAAAATTTTGTCTATGACTCTTGGTCTCTGTTCCTCTATGTCCTTCCCCGTGTCATTTATTATTCTGTTATCCTTCATCCCTTCTCTTCCACCATTTTTCTTGGCTCTGCTATGTTAGCTTCTCCCCAGCATCTGTCATAACACTGCTGTGTCAGCTTTTATATATAAAATGAAGAGACGTGAGTGACACTGACATTTTCACTGGGCAATGTTGACTCTTTTTGATTGATATAGAACAGCATGAAGGCAGAGGCCAGGGTAAGGGGTTGGGTTATATGAAGTTTAATTTGTATTTCAGTGGCTGAATGATGGCTGGTTGACAGAATTCAGCATTTTGTTTTCTCACTTTATCAACGTAAGGTGAGGATTGACCCTGTTAAAATCACAGCACCCAATTATGCGTTCCGACTAACAACAATTAATAGAGTGAAAAGGAGTCTAATAACAAAATGTAACAACATTGTTAACATGAGAATAAAAGCCTACAACAACAGACAGAAGGTAAAGGGTCAACTTGCACTTTCTGACACTGCTAAACATAGAGAATGATGCAGGACTCTGCATCAGCAATCTCATCCTCTAACAGATTTGCTGAGACATTTCACCTGGTAAGCTCTTAGACATCAAAGCAAGTCTGGAATGTAAGTGGAAGTGGCATGATGTCATTGCCAGACAATGTCCTCATGCACTCATATGACATTCACTCATTCAGCACCGCTGTGCTACTTTAACATTGGCCAGACGAATGAACCTCAGTATCAGCTGTTCCAAATGTGGATCTCTTTGGAAAGCAACAGTGGAAAGATGTGAGACAGTGCCACTGCTCAGATAAAAGAGTTATTTTCTCACAAGATCCATGTGCCAGCCTGCTCTCCTTTATTGTGGGCTATTCTAAGAGGGGCCGTGAGGGTGTGATGGTGGTATATGTAAGGGCTTGGACATTAGATAATTGCAGACATGATTGTGATGAGGATAGGTAGCTGTAGCCAAAAGAGCATGACACATGGTTGATGATGTCACGCCCTCTCAGATAAGGTTCATGTTGCCGTCCTAAAAGGGAAATACTATTATGGGAAGCATTATTACACATTTGCATTTGGATGAAGGTCTGGCACATATCCGGATACTTTGTGTGTATTATAATGCAGTGGTTCTTTGACTGCGGTCAGCTTCAGCATATCACCTGTCCAAGGCCAGCTTTTGGATTGCACTGTCAACACTTGACTCCATTAGATGAATGTTGCACAGTGGTGGCACCTCTACTACCGCTGCTTAAAGCCCATTCTTGGCTCTCAGAGGGGGTGGGTAAGGATTCCTGTGACTATATGTAGCAACACAGTCCAGGAGGCCTAGCTATCGTCTCGTCACTTTTTGGATTAGCTAGTAAAACTGTAACCTACAAAGTTGTTTATTAACCTAATCTCTGCCTGACCCCAAGATTAAACTCATGCATCATTTTAACATAAAGCACAGATGATTGTCAATTTATGAAGATACACTTCTTGAGCCTGACACCACCATAGATGATTTAGGGGAAAATGGGACTAAACAGGTCACTCTCTGACCCTGTTTGGGAGTAAGAAGAGATGTTTTCCTGCTGCCTGGTACCAGAGGAGGGACTGGCTGGAACACTCTGTGAAAGCAGATGTGGATTTCAGTCATTTGGATGCATTTTAGTCCATTTAAAACATGTATTCTTTCATTTATTTACACCTAAATTATGTCTCCTTGTGTTTTAAATCACTAAGAAAACCACAAAAATACATTATTTCTGTAATTTAAAAAAAACACTGAATGGTTTCACTTTCACCCCCGGCCATAAGTCTTGTACCCCCCCGCCCCCAGATGAGTGAAAAACGCAGCCGACAAGCCTCCTGTGTAGACACACCATTAGTCTTGTTCTATAATGTGCTGTAATGCCGTAAGCTCCGCCCTTAGTATGACTGCACCTGTATCACCAATGGACTGCATACCAGACATAATGTATCGCCATCATCCTCCCTGGCCCCATCAGAAAGGATTGCTAAGAGTATGTCTGTGGATAACATACCACCTATAAAAAGGCACCTACTTGACAACAGTTAGATTCAGTAACGGCTGCCTATACGGCTCATAAGAGCTGGTGATAAAAGACCAAACGCATACATTCATACATGCACACACACTCACAGATGTGGTCTTGTTGACACTTCAGAAAGGTCAGCTATCAATAACGGTCTAAATTTGTACAGCTTTAATGCTGACAGAAGAATGGGTTCTTCGTGCATGTGCCAACAACAAAATAACACTGCAGCTTTAAAGCTACTGATTAGTTATTGGTTGTTAATGTAACTTAAGGTATTATTTATATTTAACATATTCAGTTTACTAAATCAACTGACAGGAAACTCAATTAGTAATATAATTAGAATGAAGACTTTCTCATTTAAAAACATGACTTTTTAAAGGCACTGCATCACTTTTAAGGTTGCTTTTTTAATTGAATTTTACGCAAGCGGTTTCATTATTAGGATAAACTTAAGCAGTGGTAGTTGAGCTGATGATGTGAGATAGCGTTGCATCACCACAAAGCTAATAACAACACCACAGAGCTGAATAGGTGAACACATACAGTAGAGTTGCCACCATTATGTGAGGATATTAAAGGTCAGATATTAAATAGATGCCATGCAAAAGTGTAATTTTCATGAGGTGAAAGGGTCATATGTTTCCATTTTGTTTGATTTCATATGAACTCACTAGACCATCTCTAACAGCCCTCTTTGGTTTTAAGAATTCATGAGAAATAGAGTTTGCTGTCCCACTCCCATTCTGCAGACCTATGTCTGATGTTGCACTGAGACTTGACATAATTAGTGCAAAAGATTTCCTTCTGAACCTGTTGGTTTATCTGCTTATTCAAACACAATAGAATAAACACAAAGGACAGAGTGCTTGTGATATTTCCTTTGAAACAAAAGCAAAACAATGTGATAAATGTGTAAAGGCCATGTTTTCTGCCATGGTCACAGGATACCTTAGTATTGACTATAAAGGACTGCCATCCAGTCCGTAAATAATTTAACAGCTTGGTGCGTGTGTGAGAAAGAGGGAGACAGGCAGACACGGAGGGGGAGAAATCCCCAGTTAAGCCATCAAAAATCAAGACACGGTCCAGTGGCTTTGCTTAATAAAGACAGAGTTAAAACAAATACAGTTTTGTTACAGGGCATCAATTAAAGAGACAAAACTGTAATTCAATTTTTGGCATTTAGCAAGCGAGGGCAGAAGACCTCACAGCAAAAATGTCAGTTCTAATTTAAAATGTTGTGTGTTAAAACCAGCACCATGTCAGTGCTGATATAAATCCACACCTGAGTTTAACACTTTCACATCATTAGTGGATTTTGCTGCCATATAATCAGCTCTCTGTCAACAACTGAAAAATCAACACATGCAGTGTGAACACAGAAACATTTAATGTGTAGATGCTCCACAATGATTAATGATGATAGAAGCTGACTACAGAAATCAATTTATGCAAAACACAACACAACACTGTAGTTACACTTTTTAATTCTACCCTTTACAAAGGTAACCCTAACCCTGGGAAGAAATAAAAAATAATTTACAATTTCACATTTTGTCCAGGCAAATATTTACATAGAACTACCCTACCTGATAGTAAAATATCATTGATTAACCTACATCCTGTGCTCCAGATGCTCTTTATTCACTATTAGCTTTCTCCTCTGCAAATATTTGATTGAGTTTGTAACCCTACCTGAAAACACACGTGAGGTTACTCAAACCATTAAGTAATTCTACAAGGAAGTCAATCTATAACCGACTTGTCATTAATATCTCAACATTTCCCCTGAAACACTGACATGCTGCCAGCCAAAACACATGACAGACGTTACAAACGTTGCCACAGCTCTCGCTTACTCCCTAAGCACAAGCCTGGCCTGTATTATTATCATGTTCTAAGCGTGAACGCACAGCCCCGCACAGCCCCGCACAGCCTCCGCACAGCAGCTTGGAGCTGAGGTCAGTCTTTTGTTGGGTTTCTGCTGCAGACAGGAGGAAAAAGTGGCACTTTGCTGTGAGCAGTGAGCTGCTCACAGACCCGCTGTGTGTCCTCTGCGAGCACTGATTGAACCGCGGGCGTTTCCATGACTACGCGCAGACCCAATGAGAAGCTCGCGGTAGACCGTCGCTGAATGAAAAATAACAGAGGCCATTTTGCGCACGAAGCCACGGCATCATTCAGTAATAATAATAATAATAATAACAGAAAACGGAAACGGGAGGCAGGTTCAGTCCATTTGTGGACAGCGAGTGCTCAAGAGCCAGGTACAGTTGTGTGTGTGTGCGTGCGCGTGTGTGTGTGTGTGAGTGTGAAGTAAAAAAAAAAAAAAAAAGGCATGCGGTAACTAATAGGTTTATGTCGTGAGAAAAAAAACAAAAAACACAAAGAGAAGAGGGGACAGGGCAGCTCCACCGCATTGCTATCTGCCCCCCCCCGCCCCAGTGATCCCCGAGGGAGGGAGTTGCCTTTTAGTTTGCTGACCGACACCGGCGAACATCCATGCGCGTCGAAAAACAGGTGTACAGTTTCATCACACGGACGCAGCAGTAGCTTCCGCACCGCTCGGCAGCTCCTTTACAGTTCTGCGCGTTGAGTGTGAGCGATGTCTCTTTCTCACATGGAAGAGGCTGATCGCCTGACGGTGTGTTGCGGAATTAGTGGAGTGAGGCAGCAGTCGTTTTAAGGTAAGGCACAGTATCAGCAGTGTTGTTGTTAATAGAGGGGGGTGTTAAGGGGGGGTAATATCTTCCGCTTTTAGCAGACCACGAGCTGAATTCCGTGCTGTTTGAGGAGGTAAGCATGCTATTGTTATTATTATTATTTTTTTAAAGTGTGCATTACAAACAAACAACGACCCTGTAGTTGTGATCGGAGTGAACCAGGGGCAGATGAATGTGCTCATCCGGGATGCGGTAAAGTGCATTCCGGTGGATTTCTGTTTCCAGTGCATTAAAGGAAGATGCGGTCGGAGCTGGGAGGATGTTAAATACTCAAACCACAAGCTTTTAAGCGGTGGAGGGGGAAAAAAATATTCCTTAACATTAGAAGCAGCCTGAAGACAGTCAGCATGAGAGATGTAAACAGGCTGCTTGGTAGTAATGAGCATGAATTGAGATATCCATGTTTAACCTACATCCCAAATGCTTAAGATAATCTCTATTGTTAGCTTGCACTATTGTGGTGCAGTACAGTATTTTATGTGCAATAATGAGAACCACACATAGACATTGGTCTAATATAGGTTTATCTTTACAAAAATGATTGAACAAATCTCTGAGGACTCTTCAGTTTTGTATTGCGCCTTATTGAGTTACTTATTTTATGAAACCAACACAAACCCATCAATTCAGTTCCTATGAGAGTATAATGTACTGTGAAGCCTCACACGGCCACTGTAATGCCAACACAGAGGTACAGTTTTTTTTCTTAATCCTGCTACCAGAGTTTTTGTGTGTATTCACCTACCTATTAAACCTATTAAAGGTTTAAATCAGTCAGTCTGTAACTTTGAGGGCTCGGGTGAAAACCAGTGGGGGCTCTGACTCCTGAGTGCATTTTATGTCACATATTATAAGACTAATCTGTCGCCGTGTTGCCTATGTCATATGCTAGATCTGACAGACAAGAGTGAGGGATAGTCAGCCCCGTGTTTCTGTGGTGCTTTATGCTCAACAAACTGGTGTAAAAGGATGATGTCATGAGGAGGAGAAAAAAAAATAATACAAAAGCCAGCAGCGATGGATGATATCTGTAAGACCCATTTGAATGCTGGGTGAACAGGGAGAGCGGGGAGGTGTCCAGAATGCACAAAGTGTAACATTATCACTCCGGGAACCTCATACCGCTCCCAGTGTGGCCTACCTGGCCTCTGTGTGTGTGTGTGTGTGTATGTGTTGCTTTACCGGACGGTGTCTTTGATGTAGTATTTGATGTATTTCTATGACTGCATGCTTGTGTCTGGGGGAGAGGAAGTGACACAGCGGGATGCAATATGACGTGCAACAGTTGGCTGCTGTCTGTCTCACGAGGGGCTGCTGTACCAATAAACAGTTATAAACAGTCCAATATACACACTTAATGGGCGATCATGGCTTTTTGACTTGATTGATGAGCCAGAAAGTATGTCTCTGTTAGCGTTAACTCAGTTGCACCTGCCAGTTTAGGGTTGCTGAGAGAGAGAGAGAGTGTGTGTGTGTGTGTGTGTGTGTGTGTGTGGTTACATGCATCTTTGAGTGAGAGAGGCAGAGGGAGAGGGAGGAGGAAAGGGGATCAAGGCAGGCCATCGGGGAATAGGAGAATGTGATACATTTCTCCTGAAAGTACAGAATGTAACAGGGGGTTACTCTCATAGTTCACGTTCTTCCCCTCTCTCTGTCACTCTCTCTGTCACTCTCTCTATCTCACACACACAAACACCCCTTTTTTTAATTCTTCTTTGTTTACTTCCTTGTTTTGGTGCCCTCTATTTTCTCATTGTCCCTCTGGTGTGTTTTCCTCCTTCATCTTCCCCCCTCTCTGCCCTCCTTCAGAGGCTGATGTCATGGCTCAAGTGATGTGTGAAAAGCTTGCCTAATTCTTAGTCTCACTGATAATAGGGGCCTCCTGCAGGGCATGCTTGCTCCCTGAGCTTTCTCAGTGTCTGAGCGGTTTGATGATGGGGACTTTTTGCAAAAAGAAAATGCTGAGCCAGTTTTCTTTTAATAAAAATATAATTTTTTTTGTCAACCGTGGAAATGAAGTGGAATGGTCAGTGATTCTGGGTCAGCCAAGGATGCCACAATAAGGTTGAATGTATTTATTAATTAATAAGATGATCCTTAAGAATTAATAATTGGTAATTAATAACATCACATTGTGCAAAAAAGGTCAATTTTTCCATTATTTATTCATCTATAATCATACCTTACTTTTTGTTACGGTTATAACTGCAATAACTAACAATGAGCATGAGGGGAAGCACCTGAGTGATTTGGGTACAGTGGCATACTGATGATGTGACACATATTTACAATGATGTGGAGACCAGAAAAGAGGATACTTAAGAAAGTGCATACTGTCATAAATAAAATGCTAAATTATTTTTGTGCACTTTATTTGCATGTAAACCATTTCAGTCCAGTGTTAATATATCCGTTTCAGTGGTAAGAACGGTATGTCTAAGGTTATCGCAGCAATATAAAAGGCTTGAATTTAAAAAAAGGCTCTAAGTCTTCAAGGATTGAGACATTCTTTAAACTGATTAGCGACACAACATGGAGGAATAAGTAGCCTGTCCTGCTAAGCTTGGATAAAGAGTTTGAAGACTACCCTGAGTACACAGGTAGGTCAGAATTTGCAAACGCAGTCTGTTGAGCTTTAGATTATGTAAGACAAGAGTTTGCTGCCTGGTGCTCGCAGATCAGGGTGATGAAGAAACGCATGCATTTTTCAAAACAGCAGCACCGCACCTCTTCACTACTGTAGTATCACCCATCAGAGATCAAACTAGGCAATTCTGAAAGGTCTTATATGTCCTATAGGTTATACAGTTGATGCTATTTAAAACATTAATAGTAGAGTGGAGTAATTTCATCTGAAGCAGAGAATAACATTACACTCCCGTTGCCTGTGTTGCAATCACAGCCTCTCTCTGGTTTGTTTATATAACTGGTCTGCTCCGTGTGCAGCTGAGTAGAGCGACTGAAACTGCTTTTATTTGATTTCAACCAAAGCAGAGTTTGTGATTGTTGGAACAGTTGTTTCTGTCCACTTTGAATGGAGTTATGATGTTACAATGTGGGGCTACAATAAGAGGTCAGATTAACTCTTTTGTCTCTGGAGCATGGCGAACTATAGCGATATAAGGCTGTCCCTGGTTAATCAAAAGGTATATCTCTGTAGAGATCCTTTCCTTAATGTTTTGCATGCAGAATAACAATCAGAGCCTAAAAACAAGCACTTTTAGTGGACGTACTTGGACAGGTGCATTTGTCCCCAAGGATTAACGTTAGCTTACGCTGGCCAGCAGCCCCTTTCACGGATATTTCACATCTAACTTGGTGAATTAAGGACTTATTTCGACCAAACAAGCATTGGGGATTGTTGGGAAGACTGTGGAAAGACTGCGGTGAGTTTTATTTTATTTCTGCCTTTGTTTTTGGTCTGAGATGTTGGTGCTCGTGACATCCACTGGCAAGTGAATTTCATATATATAATCTTCAAGTAAAGCTATATGCTTTGTTGAATCCTGTAGCAATTAACGACAACAAACAAAAATGTTAAATATATGTAAATATTTAATGAGGTAAAGTAAACCACCATGATCATCTCTGTGTTGTTGTAAGAACTTTGGAACTTTTAGCTCTCTGTCCTGTACATAAGAGGCCTAAAACCTTTTCTAATTATGTTTAGCTGGTTTGAATTGTATTAGGTTACTTCCATATTCTTAATTTGCATCTAAATATTCTATTAACTGTATCAACACAAAACACAGTGAGCTCCTAGCTCATATTCCTCTGCTTTTTGTGTTGTTCCAAAGCAACGCTTTGTGGATATATTTTTCCTTATTTGATCTGTTCCCAGGTTTAAGTGTTTTCCAGTAAGTGACACTTACTAATGTGGACATGCACAGCTCTTCTGCTTTTTATAACCTGCCACTTACTTAACTGGGAATGGCAGGGCCTTGCAGAAGCTGATAATGAATTAGGTGTTGAAACTGTACGAGTGAGACCATGTCGACGCGACCACTGTCGTCCGGAGTGGCTCATAGGTCAAAGTGTCGGTGTGTTTGAGTGTGAGTGTGTGTCAGTCGCTATAAAAATAGTTTGCTCTGGTACTTTAATGAGATCATTCCTAAGCTGCTGCTGTCTCATGTCGGTTTTAATTGTGTTTATAAATCATTCATTCACATGCAAAACCTGATAGGAGATGCTTGTCAAAGTTGCATTTTAGTTATAATGCATGAGGGATGTGATTCGCATCTGTAGACGCAACTCAGAACTCAGCAGTTGTTGGTGATGCTTGTTCAGATGTTGATGGAGATCTTGTCGGCCATCTTTTGCAAAGCCTCATGTAGGTAAAAGGATAAACAATTAGAATAGAAAACTAAACTCAGGTGCTTTGGTCCCTTCAGTATTTTATTGGTCTCCCGATACTACCCTGATTTTGTCCCCGAGGTTACATCATTAGCACCTGTCAGTTGTGAGCTTTTCACCATACCTCCTTGATCCTTGGCATGTGACCAGAAATTTCTGGGGGCCAGCTGCTGTTTGATCATGTCTGCTGACACACCAATCACTGTTGTGGGCTGTGGGAACCCCAAGGTTTGAAGCTTGGATGTTTGGGGGCCACATAGTTACAGAAGTGCTACTTATCACTGGAGCCATCTGTGTCCGTGTAGATGGGATTTTTACATTACCACTTCATCATTTGTACGATGACAGCGGACACAGATAGTGCTCCTCCGGGACAACTCAACCAAGTCCATCCATGTTTGATTTAAAGGTTTGCAACATGTTGACAGTTGGCTGAGCTAGTTCATGAGTTTCGTATTTTACCTTTGTGGATTTATATGCTTGAATACTTGGTGTTGACCCAATTCAAATGATTGTTTTTGATACACTTGCAATAATCTGTCCATTTAAGATGTGTGCCTGATATTGATGACAACCTGAAATTCATTAAACAACCCTGCGCTGTAAAATTACAATAAAATTACCTTCTATCCTTGTATACCTACACAAAAGATTGTTTTTAGTTACTGGCATGCCATCTTAAAGGAACTTTATGTAAGAATTGGCCACCTGTCAAACAAACTGGGGGCAGCATTTCACCAGAAGGTTGAGGTGCTGACCCCTGTTGTAAGAAACAAAAAAAAGCACAGTCCTTCCTTCATGCCTTTCTTGCTTTCAACAAACAGCTAACTTAGCAAATATATTAACTGTCTGTAATATTACACAATTAGCTACATTGCCAGTGTTAGCATTAACAGCTGTTTACCTACCAGACTGAAACAATTGTTGTGAACACCAATGTTAACTCTTGTTTAGCTTCTATTTCAATTCAATTATTTCTTTGCAGCTTAACATGGTTTCTTGCCATCGGGGCAGTGCTACTTCATCCTTTCATGTTGGATTAAGGGGACAGATTGGACGCCACAGTGACTTACTATCACCTCTTGAGGTACAAAGTGGGAGTAGAACACAATAGACATCTTTTGCATACTGTCAAAACTGTTTTCACAAGGAAGGCTGTCGACAAAGATGATACCACAATTAGAATCACAGTTGTTTTAGCTATCTGTTTCTGTTTCTGTAGTGGAAAATAAGTCACCACTGACCAATTCACTAATGGTGTTTCATTACCATAAATTAGTGGATTTCCTTTGTAGTAACTGCTGAACTGTTCTTGAACCCTACTACCCTGTAATTTGGTAGTTGCTGATTTTTGTGTCTGTTTTGTTTATTGTCGAGTATGGGTGTGAAGGGACGAGGTGGAAGTGGTCCAAAAAAGCATATTGCACAGTAGCTGCCTGGTTGGTTTTAGGTATCCAGGCTCTAAATATGAGATGCTAATAGCAGTAGTTACATCATCATTCTGAGAATAGCAGGGAGTCTGGGGTCTAGAGGTGCTTCTGGCTGACCTCTCTGCTGTGTATATTCAGCTTGTGTGTGTGTGGTCATTTCCAAATATATACATTCCCATATGGATTACACAGCAGTAAGATTATTAATAATGACGAAGGTGAGTCGACACATAATTATTCTGTATATATCTTCCGCCTGATGTGCCTGCACATGGTGTATTTGTGATAAAAACATAAAGACTAGTGCGTCACAGGCAATCAAAGTGTCAGCAACGGAGAGTGAAAGAAAATCTAACGTGAGAACAATTTGACACTCCTGTAAGTTTCTCTGTGGAGAACTCCACTTTACATAGTCCCACACTGACGACATGGACTACTGTGTGACATTAAAGCCCGGAAGGAGAGATGGCGTGTGGAGGGTCTCTAACACGCCTCTCCGTCTGCACTCCCCCACTGCTGTCCTAACCCTAGGTCATTTAACCATAATTCCTCAGAGGTGCACCTACCTGATGTATTTTGTACCATAGAATTCCAAAGAGTATGTGACTGTGTTCTTGCTTGTACAGTATGTGTATGTATATAGATACAGTCTGTCTTTGCGTGCATATGTGTGTGCATGCGGTGTGGTATGCATGCATGCAAACATGTGTGCGTGTGGTAAAATAGAGATAGTCGGCCCTGTCACTTAGCCCCCACCCATATACACTGGGGGGTAACTTTCCAGTCTCATAGACGAGCATGCCTGAGTCTGAAAATAGCCGTATCTGATCACTGCTTCACCCAAACAGGGAACTCTCTTTCTCCGTCACTCCCTCTCTTCGGCTCTCTAACTTTCTCCTCATTCTGTTGTCTCTGTGCTTCCTAGGCATTAAACGGGGTAAGATCTGGGAATAAAGCTTGACCAGGAGGAGAGACTTATCCTGAGCAGAGGGAAGAGGAAGGACAAAACAAATCAGAATATAAGAAGAGAAGGAGAAAGGAAGAGGCGCTGGGGCTCACGACTCACCTATACCTGACTCTTCTTAGCAAGTCTCCAGTCTTTTGGTTTTATGACGGTAAGAGTTACATTTTCTCTGCTTGATGGACTGTTGCACCTGCACTCTGCCGGCTGAGAGGTCAGGCTTTTAGAGTTAAATGTCACAAAATATAGACACATTGCAGGGTTGCATTTGACAAGTAAATTATGTACTAATGTGCATTTTTATGTCAAAACACAGGAGCGCTTTATCTATTAAATTACAGTTTCTCAAAGTGGATTGAAGGTTGGGTATTATGGTTTGACAAATATAGATTTAATTTGTCTTCCTAATTCATAAACGAAAACTAATATAATATTTCAATGTATGATTTACATATATTTGTTTTTCAAGTTTCAGTACACAAACATGTCATGTAATGCTGTCTACTAATTTATGATGTGACCATATCTACGTGGTATGAACGCACTGATGCTTTAAAGGGAATGCAAATTAAAAGAGATGTGAATAGATTTTACAACCCAAACACCAAAAGGGAATTGTATTTATCTGTTCTGCCAAAACCCACAATTATAGACTGAGAGAAGAATTTTTGTCTTTTGTGACAGTGGACAGGGGAAATGGTGTCAAATAAAACAGTGGCTGCTACCACGGTCACCTCAGAAATAGCATCAGAAAATAACTTAGATTACAGTTTTGTGGATTGAAAACAAGAAGATTGATTCAGGCTGGAGGAAATAAATGTTTGTGACTTTTTCACTGAAAAGGGAAAGTTCAAATTAATTATATATACAGCAGAAATGAACTGTTTAAGCGTTATTTAAAATTTTTGTATTTCGATATATTTATATATTTTGACTAAATGTGGAAAAAAGTTTTAGTTCCAAAAGTTTTCAGTTCCAAAAAATGTTCCTTTACCTCTTGCCCTCCCATATTTTTGCCCCAGAATCTAATTTTCCTCCCTCTGTCCCTTTTACATACTTCCATCTCTTGTTACACACTTTTTCATGGTCTCTTCTTTCCCACTCAACAAAAGCCATGCACCAATCCCTCCATTAGGCCAGTCTCAGAGGTGTTGTGGAATGTCACCTTGACCCCTTGAGTACACAGTGAGGGGTGGTTCCCAGCCTCGGTTCGTAGCATGGGTCCGCTCGGTTCCCTTTTTCCTGGACCTGACATACAGTGACACACTTTGTCTGTTCCCTGTAAACGTCACAGAGCACCCCATTTTTCCATGGTAAATGTGATATTATTAATACATAATTAACATTCAGTAAATTCCAGTTCCACTAAACCTATATATGTTTGCAGAGCTCTACATTACTACTATGATATGAAAGTTAGACAGTATTGCTATTATTATTCGGGACAGAGGGGACTTCATTGCTTGGCGGTATGAGTATCACCTGTGATATGGGTCTAGGAAGTAGTTCCTTTGGAGAGAGACCAAAATGAGTCAGATTTGAACACAGATTTGTGTATTTATATTTTCTAGAATAAAGTACAGAATGTTTTGAGGTCAGAGGGCTTATCAGGGCTCTACAGAGCAGCTTGAAAACTTTAATTCCCTTGTTATTGTCACTCTGTTTTGCCCTCCTCTTCCTCATTCCTTCCTGATTTCTTTAAAGGCGGATGTACAAAAGGACAAAGACATTCAAAAGTTGCCTTTACAGGATAACAGCAAACACAAGGCTCTTGAGTTACAGTCTCATGTGAATGCTTGATACTCTTCTTTCTCTGACTGGCATGCAAAGTTCCCTTTAAAGATGCCCTGGTATTTATACAAATATTTAAGCATATATGCAAGCGTATAATAATAATATGTTGATTCATACTTACAGTCATTAGTTGCAATACTGCTCTGTAAGAGAGTAATGAGGTTTTTGTAGCTAATTGCAGAGTTGAAATAGAAGTATTGGAGAAGCCAAAAATTAATAGGACTGTTCAGGATAGTGTTTGAGATATACAGTTGAGGCTACTCATAAACAGAAAATCTTAAACTTTTGCATAGCAACTGAGATTTTATTCTTTACTGTCAAACCTATGATGACTTCATTTGAACACATAAACTGTCACCTGTCACCTACTTCCTGTTGTGATTGTTTACCATTTCTCCTTAACTACCTGGTGAATCTTAGGAATTAAAAATGTAAAATAATAACATTTTCTCATGCCTTCAACCCAGAGTACATAAAGATTGCTCGAATGAATTTTCCCGATGATCAGGACCACCTCAGAGGGTAAAAGGTCTTGTCTAATGGCAGTAAATATAGCACCCCTGCTAATCAAGTTCCTCTTATCTTCATGCTCGACACTTAACACCGGTACCTGGGGAATCCAGACTATGTATGGGGAATGTAATCTTAGACGAGCTGATAGCCATTCTGCTTTAATGTACCCCTTGCGTCAACTGACCGACTATTTTCCAAATATTTTGTTTGTTTTCATCATTGGATTTTGAAAATGTTATAAAAGAACACCATAGAAAATCTGTATTTAACAGTAAATTGGATGTAATTTTTATAAGGTATCAAATCTTTCTACAAGATAGCTATAATGTTCTTAAGCCACTCATTTTGTCTGGTTGAGTTGCAATGATCCATAAGGTTTCTTTGCTGCCATGCAGTATTTTTCACCGATCAAACTTCTCTACAAGAGTGATTAATAATAAGCAGTGTTTACAAATGATTTAGCTAGAAGGGCAGAGAGACCATTTTTCAGGATACATTCCTTCACTACTGCTTCACCATCCTCCCTCATTCTCTAGATAAGATGTTTGAATAAGCTCATTTCTGGATTCTCCTGTTTGTCTCTTTCCAATTAGGCCTCTTTCAACACATCTATAAATAAATCACACATACAAAAAGTCTACTCACTTGTTGAAAGGACTACTTTTCAGTTTAGGTATACAGTCAGTGTGGGCTGGTTTATACTGTAGGGCACTCTGCATTGGGCAGACATGTATTCCCTGTCACCTCTTTGCTGTCTTTTATGAGTATGACCTGTCTGTTGTATGGTACTCATCTTAGATCCTCTCTACACACTTGCGTGTGGTGGCAGTTGTGGCATTTCCCTGCCGTGGATTCCCGTTCTTACGAGGGGGAAGTGCTCATAAAGATAATAATCCCCGTAGCAGCTGAAGAAATCACTTAATTTGTTGCTTTGAATGAACATTTGCTTATTATTTTGTGTGCATAAGTGTAACATGTTGTGGTTTAGTTTGTCTTCAGCTGACAGGACTGCAGTTTAAACGTCACATTTTAAACTGAAAGTGTTTGAGATTCCGAGGTGACCACCAGTTGTTCTCCCTTCACTCAACCATGTGAAAAAGCTGAAGCCATAACTGGGGCCCAGCTATAACACTAAGTCAAAATGTCGTGTCAGGAAAAGCTCAAGCTTCGTCTTTGAAATTGCTTTGGCGTTCAGCCCCATGTAACACTGTCCCTCCATTTGTGCATCGTATCATTTCATTGTAACTCTGATTCTATTAGCTTGTTGTGTTCTTCTCAGTTTGTAGCCTGCGGCTCGAAAGTGTTGTAACCACTAGCCTTTATTACAGAACTCTCCATGTATTGTACACATCTTGGAGAAGAGGAGATGAAACAGTGGCAGCTCGAGAGGTGTTGTTTACTGACAATGCTGTGTCCCCAGACGGCTTCAGCCAGACAGCTTACATAATACTACAGGCTAATATCGGCCTCTTTCCATTTTTGCTAGTGTGTCGCTTACTCTCTGTTTGCTCCGTCAAACATATTCCTTTATTCAATCTCTCATCCTTCCTGCAATCAATATCTTTTTTCTCTGTGTTAATCTATGTTTTTTATTTGCCTTTTTCTTCAATGCTTGCCCATGCTCTGTTTATATATATATATATAGTATCTTTCTCTCTCTTTTCCTCTTTGTGAAGCAGTATATACAGTGTAGCATCTTTAGTTCTGTATAGTAACAGTAAGGCAACAAACCCACGAATTGTCACATCCAGTTCATTGTTCTTTCCCCATAGCACCGACTCACAGTGCCGGGGCCTGTGTTGCATAATTGCATTAGTGCTCTCAGGCCAATGGCTCTGCTCGTTAGTGGGGTTGTGATGCAATCTGCAGAACACACGGGCCTCTGTTGTTTGCAGTATGGGCAGTGAGTGGGCATGCAGGGTCAGTGTATTGACCTTCCCTATCCATTCATACAGCCGGAGGGGGGTCTGCTAATGAGTGGCAAGGTTGAACAAACAAGGCTGATAACAGAGACTTTGTTGAAGGTGGTTGTTGTTCAACTAGTGGCAGTAATGTGGTGGTAGGACAGCCGCATGGCACTGACAAAATATTCCTTATAAAATGACTAACAACAAGCAGCTTTGTGTTTTTGTGAAAGTTGTGAAGCTTAAAGAGTGCTTTGCATTAAGACTCATTTGGAACTATTTTGATTAAATGTATAGTACTTATTTAGATACAAACTATGCCTTAACTGCTTAGTGTGCAGGGTTATTCATTGTTCTAAATTCAAATGCAGGTCACAAAGTTTATACCTATGTCACCGTGGCGATATGCTGAAACAATGGCAACCCAAGCAGAAAAGGGCCGACTTTTACTTCAGAACCTTTTTCAAAACCTGTTGAAAAATATGTGAATATATTTTTGGCAAATGACCAGGGTATAAGCAGGATAATCATTCTGATGTGTGCATTAAAGGATTTTAACACAGCAGCTAAGAAGTCCCCTCAGCAAGGATTTAAACATTCTTAAGTCCTTAAACACACCTTGATGTGGATTAGAACTTCATGTCTCATTCTCAAATTCATTTTGATTTCCCAGTTCTTACTGAAATTCCTTATGCTGACTTTTTCTAGGTTTTTAAACAAAACATAGAAAATAAATGGTTTCATTTATTCTATTGAGTGATTGTTGTTAATCGGATCTCTATATGTTCCAACAGTGCAACATAGCTAATATTCAGTATTGACATTTACAATTGTTTATTATTTATTAATGTATCATCAAGATGAAGAGGTCCACTGTACTATATAGCTTCACTCCAGTAGGTTAACTGACTGTTAAGCCAATATCATTTTATTAACTTGTCCA